AATCCTAAATCAATATTATCATTTGGATTATTTTTCTCTTAATATGATTATTGTAATTTATGAGATTTAAGGGGTATTTGATAATGTCAACATTTTAGTGATTTTCTATTTAAAGTTTGAATTGAAAGAGCATACCTACCGGTGGTTCGACCATAAAACTCCACACATATGCTAAATTGGTAGGTGATATTTAGCAATATAAAACGGTTGAACCATGATTAAATTGTGACTTCGGTATAAAATACTCTACTATCAACTTTTTTTATTCGATTTTAAAATAATTTGGTTCAAATAATTCTTTTACACTGGTGTAAATAAAAGTTTTAAGGCACATTTTGAACAATCTATTGCAAAAAAGCATAAGTGAGTTAGCGGCCGTAACGAGAATATGCGATCTCATTCAACCCAAATGTCACTTTGCAACTTATATCTTTTAAAATAAGTGTATGCTACTCTTATCCTCGCTCATTCATCAACTTAATGAGTAACATATATTTCATATAATATGATTTTCATAGGTTTATTATTTAATGAATTACTTCATGAAAAAAATATTTGCTACAGTGAAATTATTACATTGTTGCTAGACATGTTTGTGTTATGACAGTAATTTGGGAAGTCCTTACACAATACATTGTTCAACTAACTATTAGCGAAAACTTAACATCATGTTTTATATATTTCTAATCAAGCAACTTCAGATTCATTACCAATTGTGTGGTAAAAAAGAATGCTCTCTATTGGAAAATAACTTAAAGGACATACTAAACTCTATGAGATATATTTTCTTTCATCCTAAATGTTGATTATGTATGTATTATGAGAAGCAACTCTAATATTCAACTATATGATTTAATTAAACAATGAATGAGAATTAGTTTATTTATTTCTTTTTTCATTCAGTAATTACATGTAATGCTTATACCATACTGTTTTCTCTTTTCATAGAGGACTAAACACATTATACATAGTCGAATCACTTTCAAAAATATTATGTACGTAACCAAGGTACAAACAACCATTTCATGTATTTTAAATCATCTATTATATCCATTATTATATACCATATTTTTTGACAAAATCCCCCCGGCCAACGGGCCGAGTCCTGTGCTAGTATTTATAGGTAATTAAGTGGCATGTAGGGTACTATGGTTTTCAACTCCAAGTCAACTTTCCTTCTCAGGGCCTAATAAAATAGGCAATTAATTTAATTACGATTCGGTCCGGTCCTTAGCTTGATTTTACGGTTTCGGTATGGACCGAACCAAAACCAAAAAATATCCCAAATTCGGGAACCAAAGTCGAATCGAAAGATAAACAGTTCGATCCGATTCGAAGTGAGAGTCGATTCGGTCCGATGTGAATCGAATCGTTGCCCACCCCTAGTTCGTATAATGATCACTATATGAATCCTCGAAATTTTACCAAACAAGTTTTATAATTAGTTAAAAGTATTATCAATAATTTTCGCATAGATCTTAAGTTTTTTTTTGTTAACTCTTATACAAATGAAAATTACTAACATTTTGAAATATATTGAATGGTAAAATTAGTAATTATAAAATAGGATGTATCATACAACAAATCCATAAATTACGAGTGTGTAATATACGAGTTTTGTATATTTTTTTTTATATTAACCTTGAGACTTGGTGGTATTGCAGAGATAAGAACACTCACTACTATCCGTGCTAAATTCTAACCTTGAAACCAACAACCAACAAAAAGATTTATTTATGAGGAGATGACACCAAATTCCGCAACCCACATGCGTTGGAAGGAACCAGCCAAAACCCCATCCCAATTTTAATAGTCGTTGGGATTGGAGTGGTCAAGAATAATGTATACAATCTCTTTTCAAAGTGGACTCAAATGTTATTTTCCCCAAATTGAGGCTCAGAATTAATATAATAATAAAATTTGGGGGGGATTTTCCTTGAAATCTGCCAAGCTTATAAAATCCTCCTCATGATGAGCTGTGGTGTGTGATGGGGCCTGCCTGGTCTCGTTGGATACAATTCCAAGATTTATAGAATACATGTTCTTTAGGAGTTCCAGAGTTGACCGATTAAGGGATCTGCAAATCAATAGATAAATAATAAATTATAAATCCGTTTCCTCGGTGGATTTAGCTATACAAAAATGTATAAGAATTATTATTGGTTTTTGTTCGATAACTTGATTTATTAAAACAAATAAATTATTCATATGAGTATTGGAGCATTTTATAATCAAGATGTCTCTTATTCGAATTATCGTAATCTTCGATAGTAACTTATAATAGGATGCTTCTGACTCATGGGTCAACTTTCATTCTTTGGGGGAGTGTAAGGGTGATGTAAGTTTTCTTCAAACAACTCGAGTTATTGACATCAACTTATTTTTGACATTATTCATTATTATCGGTCTTCTCCCGCCAACTCTTCAACTGATTCTTTACATTTCATTTCACATGAACCGAAAAAGTGTGATTTTCGATTTCAATCTACCTACCGAGCCACATAGAAAGTTGTAATACAACTGAAACAATTTATAAACCAATCATAAATAGTATCTGTTAAAATTTCAATATTTAGATAACCCGATCCAACTTACTATTTTTCAGTTTTCCTTTCCAGCTTACAACCTAACTTCTCCTCCATTCAATACTTCACTCACCCAACTCAACAAAATAATATCCATTTTTTCTCTAAAAGTTTTAAAAAGGGGGGATTATTCTTATTTCTGAATTAGGGGATAAGGTCAAAGAGAAAAAGAGAGGAAAAACAGCAATTAATGGCTTGATAATGAAGGAAACATAAATCCAAATTAAGCAAAGGGAACCAAATGGAAACAGTCAGCACCTCAGCTGTATAAGCCAAAAGGGCCAAAAGAAACCCATCTCAAGAAATTCTGGCGGTTTTGTCTCAATCTGTCCTCTAATTAGTCACCAAAATCATAATTAATATGGTCCTGATTATCTTGTTTTAAATTTTAGTCTCTTAAATTGATGGTATAGTCTAAAATTACAACTAAGCAATGTATTTTTACTCATAAATTTATCCTTATATTTGTAACTACTCATAATACCAGTAGACCATAATTGACTTTTGCGTAAATTCACACGACTTATTTTGCATTGTTATAAGATTAAAAATTAAGATCAATTTAGGACGAATCAGACAACCTAAATGACGATTATAGGTCCGAGACCAATGATCAATAGTCTACCATAGACACAACAAAGTAATTTTATGGTCCTAAATAGTATTCTAATCAATATTTTTTTTGTTCTCAATTAACTTGAAAAAAGAGGAAACAAAAGGGGACAGTTTTAGGGTCAAAAGAGTTGCTTACCACCTGCTTTTTTTCTGCTGCTCTGGTTGTAACCTTGTGAGGTTCTCAGTTCCCAGGAATCTCTCTTTGTGATTTCTTCCCACTAGAGAAAAAAGAAATAGAGTGAGAGAAAGCGAAACATAAAGGGTGGGTGGAAAATATAAATAAATAACAAAGGGGAAAAAATTCATATAAAATTCATAGCAATTGCAAATCCAGCTCATTTGATTCAATTTTTCTTGTTAAGCTCCAAAATTGGTGTCATTGGTTCCTTGATTTAGTGAAAACCTAAAAAGTCCCACCTTGGCCTCTCATTTTTATAAGCTGTAGCCTGTAGGGTTATTAGATGACCACTTTGTTTAATTGTAGGGTTATCAGATGTATTAGCCATTTTGGAGATGCACAATCATGTGCTTTGTATTTGGTACAAGAACAACCCATGAAAAGTTTCAAGATCAAGATCAAGACCAATAGCAAGTACTATAAAGGATGATTAATGCTTTTTAATAGTATGCAGTTCCGTTGGTAATGTGTTGCACTTACATGAACGAATTTTTAAGTACAAATCCACTTTTTCAATAAGGGTTTTATGGAAACATTATTCTACTCTTACGATAGAAAGTGTAGCATAGTTTTTTAATACATTTTATATATGGAATAATAAAGCGAGTTGATGAAATGAATATGGTAAATTCATACACATATTTTTGGTTTGACGACACAAATATATCGTCTTATCAAATATTAACAGTATGTTTTGGTGTTTGCCTTCTGCTTTCAACAAATCAAGTACCTACAAGTGAACATAAGGAAGGCAACGTGAAACAAACCAACTATCAGTCTCGAGGTTGTCTTCTTCACTCAAATATTATCAGATGAAAACTCTATTGATGCTTGCTTCCTATCGATTAAGGTACACCCAACATCAATCCATGTAATGGCAATATAACTTACTATATGTTGAATTTAATGTACGTACCAATATCTCCAACCTCAAATGGTTTGGGTTCAATCCACCTTACATTGACCAATGACCACCAAGCTAGCTTTCCTTTTTCCAATTTGGAATGTGTTTGGCTTTTGACATTACCCTTTGTGGCAAAGCAAGTAAGAAGGGAGAAAACATATCCAATGAACCCTGAAACTTGAAATCTGTGTGCTATACAAAATTGGTGGTGGTTATGGTTTTTCCTTTCTCATCTTGTTTTCCTTTCCTTTACTTTCCTCTCACTCAAGGTAACATACATAGGAATGAATTTGGACCTCCATTCCCCCCACCTCATTTACTCCCCACTTAATATGGATCACCCATTTTGGCAATAACCCATTCAAACATCCATATCCACATCACAATCTCATTGGTTAGGTTTCTCCTCTTGGTTTCCGACAAAATTTCTTCATGGTACTACTCATGTAGGGCCTTTCAATTATGTACAATTTTCCGTCTTTCATTATAGACTCGATAACATCACGAAATACTCAATTACGAAACATGCAACTATGTATTGCACAATTAATTTATTATCAAAGATAACTAGATTTGAATAAACCCAATTGGATGAAGTAATCATATGCCAGACAAAATGACGTATTAACTGCTATTAGCCAGAACGATACACATTGCTATAGGATGATTAGTCATGAAAACATAGATTGAACCGACTTGTAAGGTATGAGATTCTCGTAGTTTTTATTTTTATTCATTACTTGCCTGCCCGACTGCCCCAAATTGTCCAATCCTCGTTAATTTAGTAACTATTGACACGTTCGTGTTGCCTATACGTCGTAATGAGTTTACCAACTAAACGTATAAGTTGATCCAAACCAACGATTTTTTTGTAGGTTACTGTATTGTATCAGCAGAAATGTCACCTGATTTACAAGAGAGGGAAATCGAACTAAATCATGAGACCCTAATTCGAAAATCAAACGAATTGGAGACTAATCTCTCCCTGTATTAAGTATAATATTAATTAACTACCAAAATTCATCCTCCTCTTCCTTTCCTTTCACTTTTTTTTCTAACAATCCTTTTCTGGTGCGGATTTTTACAAGGTGGATTGTCAAAACGGCATAATGTGGGTGGTTTTAGTGTCGTAACTAGAAAGGCACGAGTTGGAATTCACGCGGAAAATCCTCAGCAAATCCGTCGACATCTGCCTCACCGCCGGCGAGCAGTTGCTCTGCATCAGCAGCAGGATCCTCGTCAGGCCGTTGCTCCTGATCACCGCGTCCGCCGCCTTCTGGTCCCTGAACAGGTAGCACACCGTCCACAGTATCGTCACCGCGACCTCCGTCGCCGCGTCGGAAACCTTCATCGCCTTCCTCACCACCGCCTCCACGCACGCGGAGTCGCCGCAAAGCTCCGCCATCCCTTCCCGGCAGGACGAGACCGACTCGAGCAGCTTCAGCGCCTTCTCCGTCGTCGAGGCGGAGATTACCGACGGAGATTTCAAAATCTCGCGAAGCTTCGCGATCGTTCTCAGGCGGACGAGCTGCGGCTTCACGCGCTTCGGCATTGAGATCGAGATCAGGCACGAGAGGCAGGCGTCGACGAGAGAATGATCGGTTTGCGAAGCGATGGAATTGACTAGGTAGAGCAGTAATCCGTCGCTTTCCGCCAGCGCGAGCTTCGATTCGGCGTCGATGGCGATTGATTGGATGATCCGTACGGCTGCGATTCGCGATTGACTGCTGCTCCCCTGTTTCATAACACGGAGGAGCGACGGCGGCAGCGAATTGGGGGATTTCTCCTTCGGAATCAGTGTCAATCTCTTCAGCTCGCGAAAATCCCCAAATTCGATCGACACCGAATCCAAAACCCTAACCGCCAGCTCCACCACCGGCGGGGATAACTCCTTGTCATCTGAACAAATCAGATCCGCGAGCATTGCCACGAAACCGTCCATCTTCGCCAGGAACCTCCGGTTCTCGCCGGATTCCTCCGCGAACGTCGCGATTTTCGAAAGCACGTCGAGCGAGCAATTCGCTCCCGATTCCTTCTTCTCGCCTCCGATTTCCTTGACGACGAGCTGGATTTTGTCCGGGGACAGCGGCGCCGACTCGGCCTCCTCCGCCGCGGAGGCGGAGGAAGCGGAGTTGTTGCGGACGGAGTTGGACCAGATCTGGATGAGGCGGTGGAGGTTGTCGTTGGGGACGAACTCCTTGGTCTCGAGGACCTGCATCGTCGCCGGACACGTGTTGTTGCCGGAGTCGAGCCAGCGCTGGATGCTGGAGCGGTCGTAGGTGACGCCGGTGGAGAGGCTGACCGGGGATTCCATCACGTCGAGAGAAATCGGACACCGGAAGAAGCTCGGCACCGTTATGTACAAGTCGTCCCTCACCATGGCGATTCGTTATGGTTTTGTCTTCTGTTTGTTTGCCGAGAAAATTGAATCTACAGGGAAACGGAGAGAAAATGGAACAGAGAAGAGAAAGAGAAAGAGAGAGAGTGAGGGGAAATGGGAAGAAGAACAGAAGAGGGCGACGGTAGGTTTAAAGAGTCAAAGGATTGGTGATGTCAGCCGCTCGACTTTTCGGACAGGGGAATTTTCACTTTTTTCCCCCTTTTCTTTTCAAATCTCCCTTTTTTAGGTTCTGCGCGAATAATATTCTATTTGCAAATTACCTTTTCAATCCCTCAAAAAATGTCTTGCACATTGTTAGCCAGGCGAGTGCCCTATTACACCGGCCAGCATAGTTAGTAAATACTTCGTTTAATACACGTATATCATATATGTACCCGTACATATTTTATCCGTTTAAAATTTCTGTATCCGTATTATTGTCAAGTCGTTTCATTTTATGGCTCATATCCATGGGTACTCATGGGTTTTTGTCGTAAAAAATTTACAATAACAGATTCATATCAAAATAAAAGTCAAATATCAATCTCTCAATACAAATTATCCATATACAAAAAACACCATTCTAGAAAATTCTAGCAAATCACAAATTGACCATACAAATTGTTCAACACTAATCTAGAAAACTCAAGAAAATTGAAACAAATCACAAATTATCCATAAACAATATGATTAATTGAAACTTTCTTCCTCCTTGTCAATTAATCTTCTTCACTCTCCACACGATAATATCAACTTCATTCTACACACAGTTAGAAAGAAAATATCAGACATGTCTCCACAAACATAAAGAAAGATTAGTTGTTTAGAATATTAAATATACCGGGAAAAGTAATTATATGGGTGCGGGCGGGTACCCATGAGGCAAGTTTACCTAAACCCAAACTCAACCCGATGAATAGTGAACATGTTTAAACCCGAACCCGACCTAAAATCCGCCAACACGGATTTTACCCGCGCGTTGACCGGATTGGGTCGGGTAGGGTACCTGTTGGATTCGAGTTTTGTTGCCCTCCATTACTTGGATGTAAAGAAAAGTGTGAAACCTGTGATGAAAGCGTACATAGATGATAAATAAAGGGACTCAAACTGAGAATTTTACCACCGTTGGGGGTTCTCCTTTTTTCTGGTATCGTGGGGGTCACACGGTCAAAGGGGGGCGCACTTTTTTATTTATTACGTTTGGAGGCATCTGCAGCTTTTATTATTATTATTATTATTATTATTATTTTGGCGGGGAGCGCGCGTGGGTTATGCGCCGCGAGTTTCTGGCCGTGGGATGAAGATAAAGGCGGGAACGTGGAGGCGGAATGGACGGCTGAGATGAGGTGCACGGCTGGGAAGTGAATGGACGAGCGTCCAATTGAGAAGCGTATAATTCGGGACCGTGGGGCTGGACTGGTTGGGCCCATTGAATTTTTTTTTTTTTTTTGCGGGTGTTGTTTTGGGTCGGTTAGGTTCGTCGGTCCCCCGGTTGCATCATTTGTACGTTTGAGAAGAAGACTCGACGGGAAAAAAAGTGTGTGTTACCAGTAGGCCGGTGGCCAAAGGTTGGGTGGTATCTAAATAAGCATATAAGGGTGGTTTGGGTAAAGATGGTTGAAAAATATATGGCTTAGAGTTGAGTGAATATTGAATATTATGGTATGGGTGGTCCAACCGGAATAACTCGTATTGTCGGAGTTCGGAACTGGTACATGATTTTGTTGAGATGAATCTAGATAATTTTGGTATAATCGAAAAAAATATTCTACCATAATTAAATCGTATTGTATTGATGATCCAACTGGACGAAAAAAATTTTACATGGAATTTCAAATCGACATTTACTTTTTATTTGTATGAAATAGTTAAAACCATAATTTAATCGCAAAAAATGCTCTAGTATTGATTTATCCGGTATTATTTTACAATCTGTAAGTTTAAATTTAGATAGATTTGGAGTTCGGGTTCAAAATGTGTCATCGACGTTTCACCGAAGGTACCACATCATCTTTTTTTTTCCTATTGATTTTTTTTAGGGTGACATCAATTTTATTTTAATTGTTACATGCTAGTGAATCGATTTTAACATGAAGACTCAAGGTTGGAGATAGGCTATGGAACCGTTTAGATCAAGTTCTTGTTCGGCTATTGGCCGGTGGTATCTTCGTAAATCTCCGTTGGTGACCATAGAACGGTAAAAAGGGTCTAAACCCGTGTACAATCAACAACAGTTGGGATGCATATACGACATCTGAGGCACCAGTATGATTCATCTCTGATTCGACCCTTCTACGAATCTCTTATTTTGGATCCAGGTCGTTTATTCACATCCTCCTCCTACAACAAAATGATTTGCGATTCACGTGTGTGTCGATTATCGTATAGTTTTGTTTTCACATTGTGAAACATATCATACTCAAATCACTCTTGTCTGAATGGTGTATGATGTAGTGTAAATAAGAGATACGAAACTTTATTATTATATTAAGGTTCATATCGACATAAGATCGTGGAGTTGGGTAAAGAGGCATGAATGGAGGCAAAAGGAAAAGGTTGGGAAGAAGAAAAAAAAAAAAAAACGAACGGGAGACTGGAAATGGGCACGAGTAAGAGTAACTGACCAGCCTTCCGTGTAAGACTATATGATGAAATGAAACGTAGATGCGTAGTAATTGCTCTATGACTCACACACATGTACAAAAGAAAACATGCCGAATGATTAACTAACTAAGGGCATTGAGTAATTAGGGGGCAACATTGTTAATAATACCTACTTTAACAAATCAATCTTGCAGAAAATTGGTTTAGTGGGATTTGCTATCTTTGTTGACAAAAATTCATATCCGCTATCTGTCGAAGAGAGCAGTCGTAGCACCACGTTTCTACTAAATTTTGAAATGTGGATAAAAGTACATGTAATTTTTTTATTTTATAAATTTGTAAAACAAATTAGTTGATGATCAGGCTGTTGAGAACTGGTTGGTGTCAATAACTCAAGCTGTTGAATAATGGATCTTATACCGCATATTAACACGTCCCTTCAAACGATAGCCAACTCATATGGTGTTGAAGTTTGCACAGGTCCGAATACCACGTGCTTAACAAATGTGGGTCGTTGGAATTCGAACGAAGATCTCTCAGTCACACAAGACTTTGATATCATGGGATGAATAAGTTGGCTCGCCGATAGCTCAAGTTGTTGTAAGATGTTCAATAATGGATATTGTACCACATATTAACATAGTCTAGCCCCTCTTCCCAAATACCTTGGTTCAATTCTCGCAAGTTTAGTTTTTTTTTCAACAACCCTCGTTCTGATTTCTAACTCCGTCATTGATGCATAGGAGAGTACTTCAGGAATATGAACATTCATGTATGTAAACTTAGGTTGGGTATGATTTGATTGGATCATCATGGTCTTGACATAATAGATACCAAGATAACGTGTAGATGTCGTATGGCATTCTCGATTAGGAAAGAAATGCAAAGATGAGGAGAAGCGATAAAATACAACGCCCCTCTCATCTCAGGAGTCATGATGCATATGGGCCTTATATTTTCAGTACGGGCCCATTTTAAACATGGCCCAATATATATCGAATTAGAATTGCATGCGCATTCATCATGTTCCCATCCCCATGCCATGATTCCATTTCTCAAATTTTCTGTTTTAGTCTTATTTTATTTGTTTGATACTAGTAAACTATAACAGTAAGGGAATTTAAGGGATCGTATAATATAATTTTTTTTTTGGAATTTTAATTTTTTTTATGAATTTATAAAATATATTCTTGAATTTTTTCAAATAATTTGAATAAAATCTATATAAAAATTATTTGAATACTAAAATGAATTGGTTCTGTAAAAATTATTAGGAGTAATTGATTTTCTGATGGTGATACGACTTTAAATGAGTAGAATTCGATCTAACTTGGGCTCACTCGTTGATAAATAAGATAAACACGAGCTCGACTTGTTTAGTAGAAACTTAGCTCAATCTCGGCCAAAACTCAATTTATCAATCAGATCACGAGCTCAACTCTTTATGTGTTAAAATGGACGAACTCCTATCATGAACTTCAATACAATTTATAAATTAAATACCCATATATGTGTCACATATGATATATGTGATTAATATCATGACGAAAAATGATTAATAGTCAATTTTCATAAGTGATTGGTCTCATGTTTATATACTTTGTTGGTATCATATTAATTAGTTCATAAGTAGTTATCTCATTCATATAATGTAATTTAATAGTAATGAGTATTTGAGCAATCTATACTCTAGAGTATATATTTTTTTCTTCTAAATTATAAATGACACATGTTTGTTCACGTATAAATATGGTGGAATATATAATCTAACAAAATTATGAATTATTAACAAGCCAACTCTTAAGCTTAAGATTGATTCACTTATAAGTCTCCATTCGAGCTAGCTTGCTTTCCATACTGTCAGGCCAACTCAGCTCAAAACAAGACACCTCACGAGTTGCACAGAACAAGACACCGAGTAAATCTGCCCGAAGAGTCTCGCAATAAGAACACGAGTTAGCTCTCAACCTCGACTCATTAGTAGACGATCCAAGTGTCAAACAAGTTTTTATCGAGAGAATGTTGATTCACATGTGAGCTGCTTGACTCATTTGCTCCCCCTAAGTAACAAATCAGTTCATCCAGATGTCTTGTGTTTGAATCTTGACAACCACTTACACAGTACTGTCCAATGGATCATGGACGCCCTGTTCCAAAATTGAGATGTGGTCTAAATTGACTTTTAAGTATAATAAAATTAAAATGATTATATCATCATTATTTGAAATGTAGTATCTTTCTAACTTATTTAAAATAAAATTATTTATTATCTCTCTAATTTTTGTATTCTCCATGACATCATTTTCTATTGTTATCATAGCTATTCAATTAAGATTTTCTTGTATTATTTTTAATAAAAAATTGGATTTTGAAATACAAACAATACTTTAACAATCAATATACGTGTCTAGTGAATATATACACGAGAATATTAACTAGTGAATAACACGAATATTAATTAGCATAATTAAACTCATAATTAATTAATCATACACTACTAAGTACTAATACAACCTACAATATATGATCTAATTAACTAACATATCTGAGTGGAGGCCGGAGGGCCTCCCAGCACACCCTCTTGGCCGGTCCAACCCTTATGTTACAAATCTTTTTGAGCACATGGTATGGTTGTCCTTTGCAAATTAAAACCCATGAATTGACTTTTTTGAGAGTAGGAATGGCAATGAGTCTGGTCGGGGACGGATAGTGCATATCCATTACCCTATCCAAAGTAATTTGGGTTTTACCCATACCCATACCCACATGTAAAATGAGTAGAAAATCAAAACCATGTCAATACTTGTTCGGGTTTCGGATATCCACGGTTATACATGGGTAATAATTTCTCTTCATAACTCCAACCAATATGTTAACATTCATACGTATTCTCACATTACGTAAGAGGAAAAGTACGACAATAATTCACCAGAATAAAGAAAATTAAATTAAAACAACACAATTTCATGAAAATATTATATTTATATGCTAAATATAAAATATGTTAGAGAAAAATAATGATTATTCCTAGACAAAATACACGTGCATGTATATAATCGGGCGGGTTCGGATTGGATAGTGAGAAACTCATGCCCACCCATTACCCGCAATATTCGGTTTCGGGTTTTACCCATACCCACTAAAGTCTTTCAGGTTCGAATTTTACCCTACCCGATTATGCCGGATTCGGGCAGATATCCACGGTTACAGATATTTTTACCATCCCTATTTGAGAGCATGTAAAGAAATAAGAAAACATTCATTCTTAATTTTCTCTCAACAACTCGAAATTATTGAGCATAATTATTTTTTGACATGAAAGTAGTGACTTTGACCAAAAGGAATCGGATTTGCATCTTGATTACTCCCAATATTAATGGTTATTTAAAACATATAAATACAAATTTTTTCAACCCAACTTTCATTTGCGGGATATTCAGGACCTGAGATTTGCCATCTTTGAAAGATTTCCCTTCGTAACGAAGAAGAAATATTTTCCAATTTTTATGAAAACTAATAATAATTGGATTTGGGCAAACGGCCCCCTTACTTGATTCTAACTGGATTACGCAGTAGTACCCTCTACCCCCGGTCTATAATCCGCGGGTCCTGCCTGAGGGAGGGGAAATAAAGGTCTCTGCTGTCATCTGCCCAGGGGAAGGTCGGTGGTGCGAGGATAAACTTCAACAATGGTTTGATCCTCCGACATGCCAGGCTATTCTGGCAATGCCCTTACCACGGCGAAACGTCGAAGATCGACTGATCTGGCATGCTACTCTTGATGGTCTCTTCTCTGTTAAGTCGGCTTATCACTTGGCAGTTCGTCTAGATCAGTTGAATGAGCGGTGGCGGGCGCAGGTTAGTTGGATGGACAAAGCTAGTTGGATCCGACTTTGGGATGCCAACATTCCTCCAAAATTGAAGATATTTGCCTGGCAACTCTTGAGCAGAATTCTGCCGACCTCTGAGGCGCTAATCGAGCGGAAAATTGAAGTCCTTCCCCAGTGTTCTGTGTGTTGGGCTCCATCGGAAACGATGGAGCACCTTTTCCTTGATTGCCCAGTGGCCAGGGCTTTGTGGACTCAGTCTGGTCTAGATCATCTTGGTGAAGGATTGCCCCGACATACATTCCCTCTTTTCCTGAAGAAGTTGCTGGCTATCTTGCAGAAACCCTCACAGTTCATGGGAGTAATTGCTATCCTATGGAGGATTTGGCGATCTCGGAATTGGGTGGTCTTTGAAGGGAAACAGTTTGGTATCCTTGCTCTGATGAGGCAGTATCACCAACAGGTAGGGGAATGGTTGAGCTTACCTAATGATCCCCGACATCCCTCTCTGTCTCCTCCTAGCACTAGTACAGTGGGTTTAGGGGGGGGGGGGGAGCCTGTGTGTCGTTGGGATGGAGCAGTCCGTTCAGGGTCTCACTCTGCGGGAGGATTTGTGCTCCTTAATGAGGAATGGGAGACCCTTTGGGCGGCTGGTGTTCAGTTCCCTCTGCTGGATGACCCAATGGTGGCAGAAGTACTTACCCTTCGCGAAGCAATCCGCTGGTGTATAACGCAGGGTTTGGTGTCAATGAGGTTTGAAGGCGACGCCAAGGTGGTCATTGAGAAGCTTTGTCAGGCTGATGTGCGTGATAGTCGGATTGGGGCTATTTTGGAGGAGATTCTGCAGGTTTTTACGATTTATCCGGGCTTCATTGTACGATTTGTAGGTCGGGGTAGCAATAGGGTAGCTCACAGTGTAGCTAGACAGGCCCTGTCTTTGTTCCCGACTATGTGTCGTTATTTTGAATTTCAGGCCTGACTGAATTCCAGGATGTAATTATGGATTTGTTTCTATCAATATATGATTATGTTTTGTAAAAAAATAAAAAAACTAATAATTGGATTTGTGAGCATTGATTGGATGAAAACAAATGATGAAAGCATGCAACAAAACAGCTAGATTTGCAAAATTAGCTAGGCCCCTCTCTCAATAATTGTTCGTTTGTTCTTCATTCTCTTTGGGTGAAATGTTTTGGGGTAAATCATGACAACAAATGATGCCACAAATGTTTTGAAAACTTTAAGCAAATAATTACCCCGCACGAATATACAGTGAGATTTCCTTGTATTTTGTATAAATGTCGATGACGTTCGTGTAAAAATGAAAAATACTCAATGGTCTAATCCATGTATATACAATTATACATATGTAAAAAAAGAAAATGATGGCGAAAATTGTAAAATTTATGAGTATAGAGTAAAATTATTATGACTGTTATTTTCATGGGATGATTACGATATATAATTGGGGAATTTTAAAATTCATTTTGTAGGCATAATTTTAGTTCATTACTAGAACTTCAATTACCATACCAAGCCTTAGTTTTCCACCACTTTTCCCCTCATTTTCTTGGTTTCATTATCTTATGTTCATCATCCACACTGATAGTTTATTAACCAAATACTTGCTACCCATTTGACTTTGTCCTCTTCTTTAACGACTTTTATTACAACTTTTTTTTTTAATCTCTCAACATAAATTTAGAAATCAGAAATCCATTACATAGATGATTGGTATTGCTTCCCAAATCAAGGACGAATAATTAAAAAATCCGAATGTATTTCTAAAAATAAGGAAACAGTAAACGCGATACAACTTATCGACAAAATTTTGAATACGATTGACGAGTTCTTCAACCACATTAAATGCACAACTTTCTGTAAATAGTGAGAATTAACTCCATAATTTATAATAAATTTAACATCTCACGCTAAAATTCATTCTTCACTCTCTAAACTACGACATCTCTATTGTTTGAAATTCGAAGCACCTACAAATCATAAAACTTGCCTCTCTTGTGATTCAACCGGTCGAACCCTAACCTTTCACTAATACTTTTGAGTTGAAGCAATAATATAACAAGGGAAATGCTAGCTTCTTTGTTGGTTGTTGTTTGTATATTTGAACACCTCGATCTCAATTCATGCTTTGTACCATCTTAAAGGGCGACTAATCCCTGAATTCGAGGGTGATTTCCACTAAACAATTAATTAAGGGCACTAGTTGATCTTAATCCCCAATCCCATTAGACAAAATGATGAGATCCTTGCCGACCTTAGGGGCTAAATCAACCACTTCTGGGATTTGGAGGTAAATTGAATGTTGGAATTGAAATCGCCTTTCTCATACCACCACACACAAATGCTGTCTTTTTTTTAATGTATAGGGGACTCTTGGTCCATGATTCTTAAAATGATAAGTAGGTCGATCTTGAAATTTGTTATACTTTTCTCGAAGATGGCTCGTAAATTTCGCAACCTTTTTAAAACCAAATTTGATTTTAACGTTGACAAAATTTATTGTTAGATATGAGAATGTGAGTCTCCCTCTTATCCAAGTGAAACTTCTTTTAATCAATTACAGGTACTTCAAACAACTTTCGATCGGAGTTGCTGACTCAGCCAACTAAATCAGATTAGATTATATAGTAAGAAACTTAGAATGTCTTTCTACTCATTTGAAAATGAGATTTATAAATATGTGATATTTGGATAACCGAGAGATTTAAGAACATGTGAGACTTAAGGGGTCGTTTGAAAGTTGTGATTATTTAAATTGATGAAATCTATCAATATGTGCATTCTAAGTTGATGTTTTGCTTGAATGGTTGTATTTGGAAAATCTCTTGTTTCGAGGTGTAGATTGTGCTTTTCACATATCTAAAAAGGTAATATACTTTTTCGGTTTAAAGACATATTTGCCCTTCGTTAACTCTTTTAACCATGGAGAGAGGAGTCACAGGTGAAGCTAATGTTGGAATAAACAAAAAGTAGAAGGGACACAACTGACAAATGGAATAAAAAAATAGACAGACACTCATTCGTTTACAATCTCAACTTTAGCTAGAGATCGTCAATCCTTTATTTTGAGGGATTAGGGGTGGGCTCTTAAAAAGTAAATACATGTATTCTGACTCAATTTAAACAAAAAAAAAAGACTAAATCTTCACATTGTATGTATTGGCTAAATACACCACTCCAAATCGCAACCTCCAAACGACCCCTAAGAGTTGTAGAGATTTGAATATCTTTCTGTTACTTATCTTTATCTTGTCTTGACATTTTTATTATGTATACAAGTTAATGAAATGGGGAGCAAATGTACGTAGATAATCTGTTTAATTAACCAATTCGGTCAACTTTGATAACCATGTTTAAAATCAGATGATTTAACCTACATATCTAACCACAATTTCTTTGATAACGCCATTAATCTTGACCACTGATCCAATTGGCCCACAACAAACGTAGTAATCTCCAAAATCGAAAGCTCAGCAATCAGTCAAGGAGAGTGGTTGCTGTGAAAGGGTCAGCACTCAGAAAGAAGAATAAAATTTTAGAAAATAATAATAATAATAATAATAATAATAATAATAATAATAACATATATAATATAAGGACACCATAATAAAATAAAATAAAACAAGGACAAGCCAGCCACACGTACGGGCACCTTTCAATCACGTCACAAATAGAGATTTTGCTGTTTGTTTGATTAGGTACATGAATCTCTATTCTCCATTAACGAACAAGAAACTATCAGCATCAGCTGGCATTGCATCCATGGTTAGCTGGCGAGATTTATAATGGTCGGGGAGTTACCTTTAGTTTCGACTAGAGATGGCAAAATAACCCATCATTCGAATCGATTTCGTCGGAAAAAAATGTATCCGATATTATTTTTGGGTAACTGGCAAAGAGGATAATGAGTTTGGTATGATTATGATATTTAAAATATTCGTACTGAACATACCCGAATATGTGTTGTAACTTGTAACAATGTTATGGACTCATTCACTTTAACACTTCGTTCATCCATATTCATATCGCTAAAACATTGTAATGATCTCTTAGACGTCAAATCTTATTTATTTTCTCCTAGTTTGACAAATAACGCGACAAACAAACTTCATTTTATATTGACATCCGAAAGAAAATATTTAGGTTATATGAAAAAATTGTATGCATGATTGTTTGGGATGGTGCAAGTGGGTTTTCCCCGAGCCCCATATCGATTGGTTTCGGTATGACATATTACATCCCGTACAGTTTTGATTATGATTTAAAACCGTCTTTCGAAAATGATATATATAAAAACCAGTGTTATTAAAGCCAAGCCGAGCCGCTTGGCTCGACCGGTAAAACCGCCACCCGGTCACAAAACCGGCTTGAAACAGTCTAAAAGCTGCTGCGGTTTTATGTAGCAGTTGATGAGTGGCCGAGGCGGTTAACCGTTCGAGCCGATCGAGCCGCTCGTTCGGTTTTTGCCGTTCAGCCGTTAAATTTAATTAAAAAATTGAAGAAAATTGAAAATTGAAATAAACCAAAAACATCGGGCTCTCAAACTGAATCCTTATTTCCATTTCACAATTTCGAAGGAAAGAGACGAGCTCTGATTAAGAAATGTCCACTATTTATACTGATAACGTTTATTAGGTACCGGTTTTCTAACGATTTTTAAACGATCTAATGCCGGTTGGACCACTAAAGTGCGAGTCGTTCGCATTACCGGATCATACTTCGGTTCGGTTCTGACAACATTGATAAAAACCAGCCCCACCTGAACTCATTGCCATATCCACACAGATAAAAACAAAATTTATTGAAATTTGATCGAAATCACTAAAAATCACCTGCCTTAACAAATCTTTCCGACGAGTGGAGACAGATGAAAATTTGAAGTGAAAATTTGCTTGTTCATCACTAGATCAAGAGAGAGAGAGAGATCAGATTGGTTGGATCAATCGGTTAAAAAGAGCAAATCCAATCCATCCAACTCACGAATGCACCAGCTGTGAATAAGTTCTTTCCCTTTCTTTTCTGCAACCTCTCTCTCTCTCTGTTTGTGGAACAAATACAACGTAGGGCCATTGACAGATGAAGATTCACGATCTATAATAGATGATGAAGTGGAGAGAGGAGAAACCCTAGCTTGCTTGCTTTCTTACGTACCCTCACATCGCTTGTCCACAAATATGGACACAGACAGCTAGCACGAGTCTCCAACCCTTTATTCGCTTGGACCCTTTCTTTCTATAGCTCCTTCCCTTTCACCTTCCACTTTTTTTCTTCTTCCAAATTTGTTTATGAATCATTAGTTTGGTTTCTTTAACTAACGCAAACTGAAATCTTTTGGTTATGTGGAAACTGGAGAGAGGTTTTTTTTCATGAGAAAGTTATCTAAGTCGATTCGGGAGTTCGATTTATTCTTTGATAGAGTACTCTGTTTGTGGCTTTATTTTGATCACAGTATGAATCGTATATACTGGTTCGGATTTAACCAAAAAACGGATGACTCCAATCCCATTTGGTTTCTAGTTGTGAGTGAGAGTGCAAACCCGAATGAGATTCGAAACTATCAACAAACACCAGTTGACTTACTGAAAGGACCAACAAAATTTCCTTGCTGACTGAAAGAAAGTATGGCGATTGTCAATACATTCAAAGGTTTGAGTTTTCACATGAAAATGTATTCATAATATACTTGCTACCGGGGGAACTTAGTTGACATATAACACATGTACATGTTGGTTGTGACGTTTGCCCGTTTTGTGTCTAAAAAGAATATGGAGTTCGCAACATTTTAGATATTGTGACTTGGTAAGATGCATTTGGCAACCAATTCCTGTCAAATATCCATTTTCTAGGGGCAAAGAGCCAACATGTGAAGTGTTATAAACGCGCTGTTATGGATTGGGAAATCGCTGGAATCGATAAAGCAAGAATACGAAAGCGAAAATTGAAAAACATACACACGATTTACGTGGCTCACTAACACAATGTGTGTTAGCTAGTCCACGGGCGAGAGAGAGCCAGTTTCAGTATATCGAGGAGATTACAAATTACAGATTACAGAGGAGTATGAGAAGTATTTATAGTACTTCTCCATGTGGGTCTAAACCTAATCCAATCTGGCAAAGGAAACGGTTACAGGCCAGGCCCAGAATCCGAACCCAAATAACATTGAGTCCGTACACCGTGGTCCAGGGGCGTTGCCCCTGGACCCCACTCGTTGGCCGGGCAGCGAGACCCTCGACTACCATTCGTAGTGGCTGATAGTCTGATTCAAGTCACATCAACAAATCTCCACCTTGACTTGAATCCTCTTCCTCTGAAATCTTTGATGTACTATGCTCCTTCTCTCTCTCTCTCTCTCTCCCGCCATCAATGCCCCGTAGGGCGGAGTCACCCACTCAAGACATTCAGCAAGTCCAAGCAGTGTTGGAACTTGCTATGTGGAACCGGCTTTGTGAACATATCAGCAGGATTATCCGCGGTGCCAACCTTCTTCACCTTAATCCTCTTCTCTGTCCTCAAGAAATGATACCTCACGTCGATGTGCTTAGTCCTCTCATGGTGGACTTGATCCTTGGCCAAGCATATTGCACTCAAACTGTCGCAATACACCACTGCCTGATCATGATATAGACCCAGATCACCAACAAGTCCCTTCAACCATAATCCATCCTTAGCAGCTTCTGTCAACGCCATATACTCTGCCTCAGTAGTAGACAATGTCACCGCCGACTGCAGAGTTTCCTTCAAGCTCACTACAGAACTCCAAGAGTGAATACATAACCGGTCATCGATTTCCTCGTGTCAACATCTCCAACATAGTCCGAGTCAGAATACCCAGACACCAAGCACTCTGTATCACTTCCGAAGCTAATCCCCACATCAAGTGTACCCTTAAGGTACCGAAAGATCCTCTTCACAGCCTGCCAATGCTCCTTCCCAGGTTGTATCATGAACCTGATGACAACACTATCAGCATGTGCAAGATCAAGTCTAGTGCATACCATAGCGTACATCAAGCTACCTATTGCACTAGCATATGGGACTCTCAACATGTACTCCTTCTCAGCCTCTGATTGTGGTGCATAAGCTGAGGATAGATGAACATTTGAAGCACTAGGAGTATTTAAGGGTTTTGCTGAAGATATGCAAAACCTCGACAGTATCTTCTAGATGTAGCTCTTCCGTGACAAGAAAAGCTTCTTCTTCGAACTGTCCCTGTAAATCTCCATACCCAAGATCTTCTAAGAAGCTCCCAAATCCTTCATCTCAAACTCAGCACTGAGAAGCCCCTTTAACTTCTGGATATCAGACTTCGACCTCGCACTATGAGCATATCATCCACATACAGAACTAGATATATCATCGAGCCATCCTTTGCCTTGCTGTGATATACACAAAAATCATATGGACTTCTGTTGTAGCCCAGCTCAAGCATGTAACTGTCAAATCTCTTGTACCACTGCCTCGGAGATCGCTTAAGTCCATACAAGGACTTCTTCAGCTTACAAACATAGTATTCTTTTCCTGGAACCTGGAATCCTTCTGGCTGAGTCATATAAATTTCTTCTTCCAACTCTCCATGTAGGAAAGCTGTCTTCACGTCTAGCTGCTCGAGCTCCAAGTCATAATGAGCCACAGTAGCACTCTGATCGAAGTATGTCTGACCACTAGTGAGAAAATCTCATTGTAGTCAACTCCTTCTCTCTTCGAGAAGCCTCATGCAACCACCCGAGCTTTAAATTTAATGCCCTCTTCAGAACTGATTCCTTCCTTCTTCTTGTAGATCCACTTGTTTGTCACAATCTTCCTTCCCTGTGGTCGTTTGACTAGCTCCCAAGTCTGATTCCTGTCATGGGATTCCATCTCATCTCCCATTGCGGCAAGGCATTGATCAGCTTCACCACCCGAAAATGCTTCTCTATAGGACTGTGGCTCTCCTGCATCCACTTCTTCAGCAACCTGAAATGAATACACCACCATGTCCTCGAAGCCTTACCTCTGTGGAGGTACTCCTGCAGTCGCTCTCTTCGGTCTACCGGAAGCCATAGACTGTTGAGCTCGTGCACTTGACTCTGAAATTCTGGCTCTGTAGAGACATCTTCATCATGTTGATCTTCTCCACCTTGGTGCTCAAACTCACTCTCATTGAGAGTTTGCAGCTCCACCTGCTTATCAACATTCCTGTTACTTTCAACAATAGCGACCTTCAACATGGGGTTAAACATAGAATTCTCATCAAATATCACATTTCTACTGAGTATTACTCAATGCTCAGAAGGTGACCAGACTCGAAATCCCTTAACTCCACCTCTGTAAGACTGTAACCCATAAATACACCCTTCTTTGCCCTTGGGTTCAATTTACTCTCATCCACATGATAATAAACCGGACACCCAAAAACTTTCAGTGAAGAGTAATCAGTAGACTTACCATACCACACTTCATAAGGAGTCTTACACTCGATACTTGTGTGAGGTCCACAGTTGATCAGGAAGCACGCCATGTTTACTGCTTCTGCCCAAAATCTTCTCTCTAGTCCAGCATTAGAGAGCATGCATCGTGCTCTCTCCAACAATGTCTAGTTCATCCTTTCTGCAACGCCATTCTGCTGTGGTGTATCTCTAACGGTCCGATGACGGGCAATCCCTTCATCCTTGCAGAATTCGTTGAACTCAGAATTACAGAACTCCAAACCATTGTCCGTTCGCAGCTTCTTGATCTTCTTCCCGGTCTGATTCTCCACCAATGTATTCCACTGCTTGAACTTCGTGAAAGCCTCACTTTTCTGCTTCATCATGAAAATCCAAGTAAATCTCGAATAATTATCAATAATAGACAGAAAATATCTACTGCCTCCAATGGATTCAACTTGTGAAAGACGCCAACAGTCGGAGTGGAGGTAATCCAGTATCCCCTTCGTCCGGTGGATACCCTTATTGGGAAATTTGTTGCGATATAGCTTCCCAAACACACAATGCTCACAAAATTTCAAATTTTGCACCTTGTGCCCGCAAATAGGATCCCTCTTTGACAGAACGTACATCCCTCGTTCACTCATATTCCCCAGTCTCATGTGCCAGAGAGTGGTCATATCTTCCTGATGAACCTGAGACAATGCAACTGCAGCAGAACTAGACAACACAGACCCTTGTAATGCATACAAGGTCCCACGCTTCACGCCCTTCAGCACCTTCCTTGAACATTTGCAGACATATACAACTCCACCTTTTCCTTTGAAGCTGAAACCCTTGTTGTCGAGTAGACTCAAGAGGATCAGGTTCTTTGTCATTCGTGGAACATGTCTGACATCATTCACGGTACAGAACGAACCATCATGTGCCCGAACCTTTATGGACCCGATTCCAACAACCTTGCAGACATCTCTATTTGCCATGACCACGTTACCACCATCTATATGCTCGTAGGTTGTGAAGCAATCCCTGTTCGGAGACATATGGTATGAGGCTGCAGTATCCAGAAACCACACATCCCCACGATGTGCCTTCTCATCTACAGCCAAGGCGAGATAGTCTTCAGAACTGTTGTCCACTTCTGCCACGGCAACTGAACATTTTTTCTTCTGTTGCCCTCTTCTCCTGGGACAGTTGTACTTCCAATGCCCCACTTCCTTACAGTTGTGACAAGCATCACCTGGCTGTGGACCAGGACCCTTAGAATTCTTGTTCGAATTCTCTTTACCAGATTTCTTATTTCCCTTTCCACCTGTAACAGCCAAACCCGATGCCCCACCACCTGTACCAGATCCGGACGCCTTATGCCTGATCTCTCTCGTATGGAGAGCAGACTTGACATCCTCCAACGACACGCTTTCTTTACCGGCAATAAAACAATCAACAAAATTCTCATATGAACTCGGCAAAGAAACCAGCAGGATTAAGGCATCATCCTCGTCATCAACTTGAACATCTATATTACGCAGATCCAGCAAAATAGAGTTAAGTTGTTCAAGATGTTCCCTCAAAGGCGTACCTTCTTGCATCCTCAAGCTGAACAACTGTTGCTTGAGATGCAGCTTGTTGGTTAGAGACTTAGTCATGTACATACTCTCTAGTTCAACCACAAGCCCACGACAATCTTCTCAGCAACGACTTCAATGATGACGTCATTAGACAACGATAGCATGATGGTCGAGTGGGCCTTCTCCTCCCAGGGTATTCCACTCATCGTCATCGATCGCTGTCTTCTTCTGTTTCGCAGACAGCGGCCCCCACAACCCTTGGTGTTTCAATAAAGGAAGAATACGAAAGCGAAAATCGAAAAACACAGACACACGATTTACGTGGTTCACTGACACGATGTGTGTTAGCTAGTCCACGGGCGAGAGAGGGCCAGTTTCACTATATCGAGGAGATTATAGATTACAGAGGAGTATGAGAAGTATTTATAGTACTTCTCCATGTGGGTCTAAACCTAATCCAATATGGCAAAGGAAACGGTTACAGACCAGACCTAGAACCCGAACCCAAATAACATTGCGCCCGTACACCGTGGGCCGGGTCCCCTGGACCCCACTAGCTGACCGGGCAGCGAGACCCCCGACTACCAGTCGTAGCGGCTGATAGTCCGATTCAAGTCACATCAACATGAAGAATGGTTTTGTGAACTCCAAGAACGTGACGATGAGGAGGCAATTGAAAGTTTTTTAGTAACCTTGTGATTTGTATGGAATGGAAAATCATCATGGCACTTGAATGGGAATTCAAATACGTACATAGTTTCGTGTGTTCCTCTAGTCTGGGTCCATGTCTTTAAGACAAAAGCGACCGTTTGCACAACCTTGACGAGGAACAACTTTCGCTCTTCCAACAAGTGTGACAAAGCTCTAGCAGCATGATAATACTCATGAAGGCTTTGAAGCTAAATTTCTCATTATACAAGAGTTTTGTGGCGGACAACCGATCATGAATCAAACTTACAAAAGATCAACACTCAGTCCAATTTTCAATGTACACAAAATTAGAAAACCCCAAATTCATATACAATGTCTTTACTCGATTGACATTGTCACGAATCCAACCTCACACTCAAACAAATCAAGTCGATAATGAGTTTGGACTCGGATTCTTGAACCATAAATCTAGCTCAGTAGTTCCAAGTCACCTCAACCCTATCTATAGTGCAAACAAACACACATCGTACCATACCATTGTATTTATGTACCTAGGAATTAGAGAAGTAAGGCCATAATAAATGCCTAAAGCAAGAAGCCCAGAAATCCACAACAAGAAGCAAACAGAGAGAGAGAGAGGAAACCATGGATTTTTTTGGGGACAAGTTCCCTCTATTATGGGGATTGAGACGAGACAGTGATCAGTAGTAGTCAGTAAAGAGAGTCGGTAGTAAAAGGTCTACAGCCACAGTATCCGTCGGGAGGCAAACTGGCCGTAGAAAGAACCCTAATTCCCACTCTTCCACGGCCGCGGCCCACTGCCTCTGACAGTCTGCCTGCCTGGCTACAGTTTGGAAGACTTGATAATGGCTAAGTAGCTAGAACAGTACTGCTAGTAGTAGCCAAATAGCCATGGCAATATGATTTCCAGTCGGCCTTCTTCCTGCATTTAATACAACCCTTTTCCTAGTCTCTGTGCACTCTTGCTATACACAATCACCAAACTTCTCTGCCAAACCTCTTATCTATTTTGACCGGTTTGAGATAGCCTCACCTATATCGGACCAAGGGACATCCGGATAAAATTGGAACGATATTCAATTACAAGGGGTTGTCATGTTGGCACATGCTGATATCGTTGGATTATGTTCTTGTGTCTTCAGCTCAGAAGAGAGGAGGGGAGGCATGGTTGAACTTGAACATGTTGATAAGTTGATCAATAATCTCATATCTCATAACAACTCTCTCTTATTTGGACAACCAGAATCTTTTCATTATATCAGAGCCTCCTGTGATCGAGAGGTCATGTGTTTGTATCCCGATAACCATATTTGTTAAACACATGGTATTCTCGTACCTGTACAAACTTCAAGCCCTTATGAGTTGGTTTTCGTTTGACGAGAGCTGATTTGTCCTTGAGATCAGATGTTCAAATCCTCGTGACCCTCAATATTAACCGATGTCTTAGAGCACATGTTCAAATCAAGGATTGTGAAGCCGTACCTGAGTTTATTGCTGAAGAGTCAATGATAGGTATTTTGTATGAAAAGCATGGTTTAATCTTAATTCAACATTTTCCTACCGCCTGCCGTTTTGGGTATGGTATGCAGTATTTTCGGACCGACCGACCAGTAATGTAGCTTTTCTTAAACAATGGTTCAATTCCATTGAGATCACATGTTACAAATTTTAAACCCATACTACTCTCAATAATCTAATCTCATAAAAAACAATCCAATAATTTAGTGTACTCAATAAAATCATGAAACTTATGAGTCGTATTAACACGAAACCAACACAGCCCTAGAATAACATGATCTTATAACACATCCATTTTGTTGTCACTATTCCATTCCCCACTCCTTTATCAAACCTTTTTCTTCTCTTTCGTTTTGGGCTTCTCTTCTCCTTTTCAATTGGGTTGCAACACATTAGAAAGCCAGGCCCCTCCTCCATTCTCTCTTCTTTTTGGTGTCCTTTCTTATTCCTTCCCCCTAATTTTCTGCTGGCTTCCGCTGCTCCTTTATCCCTTCTTCCTCTTCTTCCTCACTAGCAGAAAGGAGTCAGTCAGAATAAACAAAAAAGACTCGTTCAAAAGAAACCCTGAACTGTGAGCTCCCTCTGTTTCCTTCTTCTCTTTTCCCTCTCCTTCCCTTCTTCTTCCAAACCCCAAAAAAAGCAAAAGAAACCAAGAAAAAGCCCTTTTGATTTCATTCCATCCTCTTTCCCCATCTTTCATTAAACCTGCCCAATCTCTGCATATCCTCTGTTTCTTCCTTCCTCTGTTTTTTCCTCCCCTGCATTATCCCAACCCAGAAGGAAAAGAAAAACTGAACCCTTATCATAAAACCCCCCATCTTCAACAAATGGTGGCTGAATTTGGCAATCCAGGCAGAAATCCTCACCGTTATCATCAACCCACATCAAACTTCTGCATGGTCTTACTGCTCATCTTCATGTTACTAGTGGGAAGCAGCCATGGCTCCAGAACAAATGTTTTCAGGGTGAAGCCCTCAACAGAGCCTCGCGGCCATTTCACTAACTTCCTTCCAAGGCATTTGCCAATCCCAACTTCCGGTCCTTCGAGGAGACACAATGACATCGGGTTACAAGCTTGGAGATCGCCTTGATCGTCATCAAGTAGCTATAGTGGGGAACAAAGGAGAAAAAAAAAAGGTTTAATCTTTTTGCCTAATTTTGGATATTGTTGTTAATTAGTGATTACCCTTTTGGAGTTAACAACAAGGGTGAAATGGGTTTTGTTTTTTGGGGCTTGGGGTGATGTATATGAAGATGGATTTTGGAGGTTGTGGTGGGTATATAGTTGTAGAGAGACTACATTATATACTACTAGTATATGCATGAATATGAATGAATATTGATACTTCTTCTTTTGGGGTTTTTGGGTGATCAAATTATGATGAAAAGGGAGAATTATTGCTTGTTAATTGCTTAGTTAGTTAGATATGGACAACAAGGGAAAGAGAGGGAGGGAATTGGAAATGTGTACTCTCTTTGGGTTTTGGATTAATGCTTAATGTAATTGTTTAATGTGTATCATTGTATCTCTCTAAATTTCTTGGGAAGTATTGTAATTATATGTATCGAGCTTGAATTTATTTGTATTTTGTACCAAGAGAGAGAGAGAGAGAGAGAGAAAGAGAGAGAGAGAGAGAGAGAGAGAGAGAGAGAGAGAGAGAGAGAGAGAGGGAAAAGAAAGATTATTGATAGATGATCTTCATATTGTTCTGTTGCTCGTGTACATGGTTTTGGTCTTTTGGATGATGGGTTGTCAAATTTTTGTTCTCTCCTTGTTGTCTTATTAGTTATTACCTTAATTCTTTTTGGTTAATTAAGGAGTAGTTATGAAAATCCTATGACAATGATGAATTTTTAATTATAAAGGGGAATTGACAACCTAAACAAGGTTCTAATTTAAATGTTTCATAGTCCAAGGCTACATATTGTGGATATTTAATTCAATTTTTTTTTGTAGTATTTGGTGGATGTTAATTTGATAGGATAGATATCCCCAATCATATATAATGTGTAGGTTAGTTTCCTAAATATATCATTTCAAACTTCTCACAACGTTTTGTTTGAGCTTCTTTATCAATTTTCAACACTTTGAATTATTTGAGAAAACTGTAATTTATGACATGTTATCATGGTTAACCTATGTTCGATTCTCGTAACGCTGAATATTAACCGATCTGAGTCATGTTGGATCAAATGAGTATATGTTTTGACTGAGTCATAATCAAAGAATGACACAACATTTTATAATCTTACAATTCTTTCAATTACTCAGAATCATGCAAGCTTTATGACTATTAGAATAAATTGGTTCTACAAAAATGAACGCAGACCTTATAATGTGGAAGGAAAAATTCAACAATTGCAGCCATGGCTGATTTTTTCCTCAATGAAATTATATTGGACGGTTCCACAAATTCAACTCCACCTAATACCAAACCTGCTCTCTGCAAACGTTGAATTTGTGCTGTTTGTCTACACGAGAGTCAGTGAGAGAGAACATGGTTCATATGGTCATTGGTCAGCAGCCATAACTGGAAGGAGAAAGAAAGAAGAGAAAACTGGTTCAGATTATGAAATCAAAATCGAAGAACAGTTTTTGTTTTATTTTAAGCTATAATAATATACAAATTTCCATGGATGGGGCCTCTCTAGTAATAGAAATGGTTCTGTCTAATTCCCAATGCAGTTGAGTTGGGTTGACATTCAATTGATGTAGTTAATATTTTATTAATTAAAAGGAGGCCTCTTTGCCATCAATTGCTGACTATTTTGAACTCCAACAAGAATTTTGGGGAAACATAAAAAATGGTTGTTGAAAATTAGAATGAGGAAATTTTGGAGCAGATTATGATGAATTCTAGGAGTCCTAGGTTTTAGTCCAAAGTAAATAAGGCTAAAGTCCAAGTATTTAAGGTCAAATACTTATCGTATTGGATTTACATGATCGAGATTTTACGTTTGAAATTTTGTTTACCATAAAGTGTGTTTTTGGCTACACTAATGCTAATATGTGTTCTTTTTATGTGTGTACTCGGATTACAAGATAAATGTTACGTTACGTTTGAGTCATATATTATTTGAGTAATTTTTCTTAATTTTATTGTTCGTATGCTTTCCGATTGTGATGCTCACTTTGCATCTGTTAATATATGTGTCTATTCATAAATTTGGAAACTACTACCAAAGTCTATATTTTTGTCCAGATAATCGTCGAAACAGTCTTCGTTATCCCAGATAACCACGAAGATAGTGTCACCATCCAACGACTCTGAAAATGCCTCTCGAACATCAAATGTTAGTTAATAAGTACATATCTACATGGATTTTGAGGTACAGTCCCCTAAAATAGCTAGCATATAGCCTTATTATCTTAAAAATCTTCATTCTAGTTTCATGATAAGAGTTAAATTCCCTTTGGATATGTTTTTGTGTCACTAGTTAGGGTTCTTATTATTATTTTTTTCCCAAACGCACATTTCAGATTCACTAGTTAATTAATTCTATGTTCGACATTGATGGGTACTGCTAATGTGGTGTACCACATCAAATATGATTTAAAAAAAAGGAGGAACCCTTGTAAAGAAAACATTCATAAAAGTAGAATAGCTTCTTTCTATAGGTTGATTGGATATCCTAATTAGTCAATTCTGTTAATTATGCACTAATAATCGATCAAGGACCATGCTCATATCCCATAGTGTAGGTAATTTGAGCAAATCTCTCCCTATTAGATGGCCTATACATCCCTTAATCAACTAGGTAAATGTCGATATAAGTACGATACAAAGGTTCATAAGGATTCCTATAATGGTATTTCGATATGCAAATCCAATAATCGACCCATATAGTCTCGACACTAAATATTGGATGTTGATATTGGAGTTAATAAGATACGAGATATCTAGATCAATCAAAACTCAGATACCAAACAACATATATTATCGAGGTCGTTCCAACAATTAAGTTATTGACAGAGATCAAGATTTTCATTTTCTGTTATGATTTTTCTTCATGAACATCATTGAATAAAATCCAACACGCCGGATATGAAAGTTTAGACGGTATCACCACACATTCTACGTATTTATATCAATGTTGATTAATATCGAAGGGTAAGAGAATCCAGGAGTTAAGTCTTTTCTTGATAACTAATAAGTTATTAGCGTAAGCATCGTGTATTGACTACATCAATCCAATCCCAAAAAAAAAAAAAAATGATAGCCAAAGATACAATCACACAAATTATGCCAAATAATGTGGTGGCTTATCTACAAGAATGTGGAATCTATCATTCTCCCACCTTGTTAACCAATTATCGCTTTAATATGTAATTAAAGTTCACCAACAAAAGAAAAAGCCACCATCAACTCCCATAAATCCCACTTACGAGTAATCAATTTTTGTGGTGGCAAAATCATTAATTCGTCACATTTTGATGTGTACATACATAGATAGATATTATTATGATATGTTGACATTATAAAGATGCAATAATAGGGATATACGTGTATCTTTTTGTTCACTACGTTACTCATTTAGTACTCATCAATGGAGGAGTGATTTACGATTCAGAAATCTCTCCATTGGATTCCATGGGGAATTATGGTGGTGAAATTGGGTGGCTGGCAGAATTTTTATATGATCATTGCTCTCTACTGGGTTTCACCATGATTCACCTTCAATTTAAGCATGCGCCAAATGATCATAATTAGTAAATAGTAATGCAATCAAATAGTAAATGATCCTTTTTTCACCACAAAGTGTATAGTGAGCTGACACATACTTTCATCCAAGAGGAAAAAACTAACCAGCTTGGTAGTCAAATTGATATATCCTTCAGCATCTCCGCTTCGTGATCGGTATGTTAGTTCGGGTACAAATTGTCTTCACTATCGCTAGGTATTGCCATATTGATAGAGTTAGATAAACAAGCTCTTCCACTCAAATTCAATTCAACTAATAAAAACGAATAACCTGATTCTATCCTCAACAAACAAAAAACTTTTACACGCCACTCTATAGACATCCCAATCGACACACAATAAGGAACTACACAAAATTATGTATGTAGAGGAGACAACAAGTGAAGGCATTGTTATATGGGGATGACAATCAAACTCATGATCGCGGATGCCCGACCGCCTCCAACCTAGTCAACACGAGGAAGCCATGCATTGACTGGGGTATAGGGCAAAAAGTTTTGATGGGGATGGGGCGTTTATGGTTTTAGCTTCCCCACCCCATACCATACCCATATCCACCCCATAAAGAATATTTGTTCATACAGGATCAAATTGCAACCCACCATTGACAAAAAGAGGCGAGATGTAATTGAGTAGCCACTCAAATTAAACCCTTAATTTCTATTCTCTCAATTGTCAATTCACCCTTCACTTTTCACTTATTTCCCCCTTTGTTAACAAAATTATACTAGGTATAGTAATGTTGTATTATTCGGATAGATGTGTTGGAGTCGAAAATGAATGATTTATATAGTATTGCACTTTGTCTTATGGATGTTTCAGGATTGTATGATTTGAGTTCGTATTAAAAAAGAGTATGAGAGAAGCACAAAACAGAAGCAAGCAATAATATGGAGGTGAAACAGAAGAGATACACAATAGACAGAGAAACTGGTTCAAGGGACATGAAGAGCTATAGAGAAATTTCGTCATCATCAGCTATGACTGGCAAACATTCTCCGACTTAAGCTTTAGCCAAATACTCCGGGACGATGGAAGAAGCTTGGCTTGACAGACAGCAACTTTACAAGAAGCTGGACGGAAAGAGAAAAAAAAAAAAACTTCTGAAGGGAGAGCTGAGATTATGGCAATGTTGAGTTAACTGCAGTGTGTAAAAAAAAGCCTGCAGTTCCAACGTCGCTGAAAGCTGAAGCATCATTGAATAGTGCTTTCTTTCTTCCTTCCTTCCTTCCTTCCTCACTTTTCCCATACCTCCTGGAAGCAGCATTACCAATATATACAGAACCCACAAAGATCGTAAGTGATAAGCTAACATATATCACCAAAAACAGTTGGAGAACTAGGAGAAGGGTTTACTGACTCTGTATTGAGGTGGGACGAGCCTGGAACGACGTGTATATGTAGTTCAATTGCACCAAACGAAAACTTGGCCATTCTGTAAGGGAAATGTTGTACAGCAAAGGAGAACCTTGAATGAAAGAGCAATCAGAGCCTTGACAACCAAAATGCATGAATTGCAACGACAGACTGTGATTCATTCTGTAATTTGAGATTTTCATCAAGCACTCACCCACGTGGATAGATTTCTCATATTGATAATCAGTTGGCTGGTCAGAATCTCATAGTAATAGGTGCAGATGCAAAGGGCCTAGGGCATGAAAGGGCCTGCCACCTGCAGAACACCATCAATAGAGTGAACAAGGTCATTCTAACCGAACAGGGATATGTTTGGCCATTGGATAAAGAAAAGAAGGGATAGAACTCAAATCTGCTTTAGTTAAACATCACTGGAACTTTTCCTAACCAAGTATGGATCTAGATGATGATTCAGGTTCCTTTCCTGGAATCCAGCTAGATAACTTAGATATCATGTCCCTATCTATCAGCATCACCGATCAAGTGCTCAGATCAAATCCTGACAAAGCACTTGATGAAAAACACACGAACCCAGCTTAAGTATGATGACCAAGTCTTGAAGCCAACTATAGGAGGCAAGAGAATGCTTCAATACAAGCTATACATGCTACAGCTCAATAAGTCCTGAGATTCTATAAAAATTATCAATATGCTATCTATGAGTTATTGAGTTAGATATTGGAAATTAAACATTTAAGAGTTCAAGCGGAACCCAGAAAAAAGGAAACTGAGCGAACATTTAGAGAATACAGATGGATTCAAGTTCAACTACTAATCAGCAGTTAGTCTATATTCTATAACAAGATTACCTGCCAAGAATTGGTGCAACTTTAGTCTATAACAAGATTACCTGCCAAGAATGTGATGGCAACGTGAGTAACCATAGAAATCAATCTGTCCGTTGTCCGAGAAGGAACGAATATCCGAAGGAAAAAAAGAGGTATATGCCATGGACCTGCTTCACCAGCAAAGAGGGATACACAAGGATGCTAACAAAAAGAAAAGAACAAGTTAAAAAAAAAAACTTGAAAAGCTTGCTAGAACAAGGACTCATGGGGATGGGGAATCTGCATTTTAAGAAGAGGATCGGATAGTGGGTTACCTGCTCAAAAACTGGTACATCGGTCATTGGACCCAGATTGGAAAATCAGTGCAGTACATAGACATTTTCATCTTACAATTTCAGCCAACAATTTCATGTTGACAAGCTGTTGGCAAACACATAACCTGCACAGTGGTGACTAAGCAGCAATCAACAGCTCCTCTAGGCTCTAAGTCTTTCCCACAGCCAGCACTCTTACTCCATAGTTTAACTTCATTGGCTACGTCATCCTCCGAAAGATCATTCTCATTTGTAAGGGTCTAAAATTCTGTTCAGTTGGATGTATCATTCCCATACAACTCAATTTCCCCGCAAGAGGAGCTTTGTTGTTCGGTTAAGATAAGCCTCTAAATCATATCCCAGGTCCTTCATTCGGTATAAGAGACTGATTGCATCCTTCCTTCTATTTTGGGAGCGAAAAAGGGACTTTAGTAGTTGATTACAAATCCGAGGCTTTAACATAATGCTTTTCTCCATCGTGTAAGCAAAAACATCGACTGCAAAGGTCCAGTTTCCCTAGTCTGCACAGACCTTTTATTAAGCTCACACAACTTGGTGGAGTAATAGCTACTTTGGAATTTCCGAGAATAGAAAATACCTTAGAAGCTTCTTCTATTCTCCCAGACTGACACAAGCCAATTAACCAGATAGTATATGGTGCTAGCTGGAAATCATTTAACCTTAGTATCAGGAACGACACCTCTCTCATTCATCTCATTCAACAACTTCAATGCCTCATTCATCTTCCCTCGAGCCGATAAACCTTTCATCAAAATAGTGTAACCAACAGCATCAGGCGTAATGTTACTACTGATCATCTTACGATACCAGATATCCGCTTCTTCATATCTCTCAGCCCTATAGAACCCGTCTATCAGGCAACAATAGCCACGAGCTTTCAAGCACATAACCTTCAATTCTCAAATGATCTCAAGCAAGCCAGAGCCTCATCTACTCTAACCTAATTTACAGTATCCATTCAGCAGGGCAACATATGTTACACAATCAGGTTCAATACCATTGCTTTCCATCTTATCAAGCAAACTACGTGCATAATCAATCATCTTATCTTGGCACAATGCCGATATGACTACCTGTATAAATGACCTTATCAGGCAAAATTCCCATCTCTTCCATTCTATTGAACAACGATTGCGCTATACGGGTCTCTCCACACTGACACAACCCTCCAATCAGGATGCTGAAGGTGTTTCTATCGGGAGCACAATTCAGTTTCACCATTTGATGGTAAATAGCTACAGCAACCTGAACCGGAAAACCCACCCACAATTTTCCCGCCAACCCGTCATTTTAAGTTTAAAACCGAAACGAAACTCAACGCCGACAGTTATCGTCTCCTCATTTCCCTTCCAAATCTCCCCTGCAAGTGGAAACCCCCTGACTGACCCTGAGAGGTCTCTTCTCCTTTCTGCGAACAGTAGATCGAATTTAGAATCGCGGCGGCGCAATGTTGGAATTTGGTCTGGTGCAGGGATCCATACTGAAGAATTTGTGCAGATGCGATAGAGGATCTGGTCAATGATGCTTGTGGCTTTGCTACTTCAGAGCTGAAGGTTTCAAATTTCGAGCACACTTCCGCTTGTGGCTCTGCTATTCGTGTTAATTAGTTGAGAGACCCTTTGTCTTTCACATATCTTTTGTAAAATCTCCATTTTTCTGTCTTCTCAGCACTCATACCATAAGCACAAGAAGAGATGGAAAGCTAAAATGTTCATTTTTCTCCATTCAACCTTTTACGGCAAGCAACAGGAGACCTCCATCGCCTAGTCTGTCCCACCAAATGGTGGGAGATCTAATAAGCACAACAGTGGTGATATTTTGTCATTCCATTGGGCTAAAAAATGTACCTCATCCACGACTTGACTCTTACTGTGTAAAGAGAAGTCAACTTTCATTTCGCATCTTGGCTCTTCTTTAAAGCACTGAAGACATCTTGTATGGTTAACTCCTCCACTATCACAACCTTGTCTCTCGATTTCGAGCCAGCGCCGATGGACACCTGCCTTCTCTTCAAGCCTAATACCTGTTGTTCGCCATCAAGAAAAAAGAACCCATGAGTGCTGAGGATAGCTTGAGAAGCTATGTGTAAGACAGAACAAACAGAAACAAACAGCAGATACACTACTGCATTATGCATATTACAATACATGGTTTCCTGTTTTGTTTCTGACAACTTATGTAGCTGCTGATAATGGTATCAAGCTGCCAAAGAGATGATTCTACACCATTAGCAGTAGCGGCTTACGAGAACCTTTGAGCTGTGATTTTGCCCTTGTCCGCTCTGAGCAAATGGCAAATCTCCTCAGGAGAAAGTGATAACCATTACTAATAATTATTGAGGCAGCTTAACAACTATGAGCTATTTAACCCAATATACAGTATTGGGGAATGCTAATACATAGTATGCCTTAGTGCATGCTGCAGACACCCCTTTTCTTAACTAGCTCACTTTCTGTCAGGAAAGAACCGCTTCATTCACAAACAAGTGTTTTGCTTCCTCGCTCCAATCTCCAATAGATACAAAAGGGTAAGCTAAGGCTCTTATACTAGGCTTTAAAGTAATATATCTCACCAGTAACTCAACAGCCGCTACTATTTCGTCTACAAGATTTTACTCAAATGAAGTAGGCTAAGTGTATGAAATCCTGAGGTTACATGACTCAAAACCAGCAAGCAAATCAAAAGTGATCTGATGATATACCATGATTTGATCCAAGAGTGAACTCTATTCTCTCCAACCAAAATCAGCTCAATGTGTGCTTTTCACAGGCAAATCCCTATCCAGACCAGAACATAACTCCAACGAACAGAAACCACTGGGCCATTATTTTTACCAGCTAAAAGAATGCTTACGATTGTCAATTGTGGAACTATTCATCGAAAGAGTATCTCACAGATGAAGAAAATTCAGAACAACCATGTCAAATTCATATGACCCAGAACAGTATTCCTTCTCACTCTACAAACCCATCTCCCCAATTCTAAGAAAGTTCCAAACTTTATTAAAAAAGATTCGAGATATAATGAGTTGTAGCTTACAGAGCTGATGTAATCGAGTAGAGCTGCATTAGCTTCCCCGTCCTTGGCAGGGGCATCGATCTGAACTCCTACTGCCTCGTCACTGATGTCTATCTTCACACAGTAAACAAATCCCCCCAAAAAAGAACTGAAACGCCAATGTATGGAAGAATTTGATAGACAGAACTTATCATAGGAAGGAAGAGACGAAAACCTACCTGTGATGGAGGCGGATTTGGCGCCGGGCTTGGCGTGGATGGTGATGGCTACCGACGACGGAGGCACCGACCGAAGGGACGGAGGGAAATCGCTGGCGGTGGAAGGTTTAGATGCTGTAGGTGTTTTGGAGTCTGCCGAGCTCGCCTTTCCTTTGCCTTTCTTGTTCGAGGGCGCCATGATTATTGAACCTTTGACAAGTGCTATTCTGTACTTCCTCCCTCGTTTTCCAGCTTCGCTTCTCTCTCTCTCTCTACGACTGGTAGTTGCCATTGCCAACGAAGTCTCAACGTTCAGCAAAATTTACAAGTTGGTCCTTCTCCAACTTTTCTAATCCTTATTTAAGAGATTTTCCACATTCGAGCTCTTTACCATGGCAGAAAGTTGTGACTTATGACTATGAGAGCTCGTGCAATTTCCTTATAGTCTTTACTTTTGCAAAGAGAATTAGAATATATTCATAAGGGATTTCAAGACAATGGTACATTTATAACAATAATACATTGGAACATAATCCAAAAACAACACCAGATTGTGGAGCGGCAAATGGAAATTGAAATATGCAAAATCTTACAAGACTTCCAAATTCAGCAAAATGGCAGCTTAAGGAGGCAGCGGCATTGCTCTTCTTTCTTACTTCGAAAACCTGTTGGCAACGTATTCAGCAATGGCCATGCATGAAGTCAAGCCAGGTGACTCGATTCCAAAGAGGTTGACAAGTCCAGGCACTCCATGGCTCTCCTCTCCCTGCAGTAATACCAAATTCCGGCTCTCAAAACATAAACACCATCTGAAACACCACCGGCCAAGAACAACTAGGACATGATCTAACATAGGCAGAGATTTAACACATCAAACTTCAAACACACATCATCGAAATGACACGATGCTGTAGTAATGCATCATTCTTGTTGATACCACCAGAGTGGGGGAAAAGAAAAGAGTTAAATTACACAAGATAAACGGTCGAGTAGGAAGGAGTTCAATTCAAGAATCAATAACCTGTATTACAAAGTCGCCAGCAGATTGTCCAGGACCAGTAACTTTCGGTCTGATCCCTGAATAACCTGGCTCGAGTGAACCATCCTTCAGATTTGGATAGTACTTCCTTATCGCAGGGTAAAATCCCTCTGCTTGACTCGCATCTACAGTATAATCATACCTGGCCAACCAGTAACTCAGTGTTACCTAAAAGTCTTAGCTGGAAATTTGAACAGTTCAAAGTAAACAGCAAAAGAGAGCAAGAAGCGTAACTTGTCTAGAAAGCTGGAAACATCATCTACCCCAGAGATCCATTCCACATTAGGGCCAAACTTAACCTGACCATCCAAATCCAGCGTAACATGCACCCCCAAACCACCATCCTCAGGAGTAGGGTATATCAAATGCTTGAAAGGCGGCTCTCTAGTATTCGACAGGGTGAAGTAGAGTCCACGAGCGAAATGCGGTTTGGGAATCACGCTGCCACTCAGGCCATTGAATTTCCTTGCAAGAGCTACAGCACTCAATCCAGCAGAGTTCACCACAAGATTAGGCACGAGCACGAATTCCAGGTTCAGCAAAGAATTGCCATCCCTGTTCTCAAGCTCTTGGCTTCCAACAACTTCCAAGTTCAAAGAATCTCCTTCAACGTGCCCTCCAATGACAGTGGAGTTGTAAGAAAAAGTTGCTCCATGGTTCTCAGCATCTCCCTAGGTAAGAGAACCCCAAGTCATATAACCATATCTCCCTGTCAACATAGAATCGTCATTCATGATTCATATATACCTTCCATCTCAGAACTCTGAAAAAATCCGGGTTAAATACTAATTACGATACGAAACTCGTCCATAGGTATCTATCACATTCAACGCCGAATTCAGTATCGAGACAACTAAAACACCAAACTCACCCTACTAAGTCATTGTTAGCATTTCCATTTCTGTTTCTGTAGTTAATTGTCCAATGTCTGTTACCAAGATTTGGTTCTTCATCATTCTCAATACCTAGGCTCAATGGCCAATGCAATAGATACAAATGGATACTGAACAAAATTGAAAACTCACCAGTAAAGACAGCATGAGAGAGTGACAATCGACAATCCCAGAACAAGGGGAGAGCAAAGCCTTGACGCAATTCAATTCAGGCTCCATCTCCACAGCTTCACAACGATCCAGCATCCTCAAACCCTCGACACCATTTTCAACCCCGCGGTTCATCAGATTCGACAGCGTCGAAACCCCGGCCTCCCCGGCGGCGACGATCAGCTTCCCTACCCTCTCGTGAGGAATCCCTCGCTCCGAGCAGTAACCGTACATCAGCTTCCTCCCTTCGACGCATAGCGCCGCCTTGAGCGAGCTCCGCGGGTAGTAGATGCCAGCGTGTATGACCTGGCTGTTGCGTGAACTCGTGGAGGTGCCGAAGGTCGAAGCTGAATCGACGACCAGAACTTCTCTTCCCTTTAGGGCGAGCGCCCTAGCGATTGCTATCCCCACCACACCGGCTCCGATCACCAAACAATCGACTTTATCCTTCGGGGAGCTCGTGGATTTCGACGCGAGATTTCGGAATTTCAAGGCCGTAGGTGAAAATGGGCAGATTTTCTTCAACTTCGTCAGCATCTTTCGCCGGTGTCGGAGCTCAAGTGGCGGTGAAGAGGCCAGCCAAGCCGAGAAATTATTGTATACGCCGGGACTACCACACTGTAACTTTGACGTGGTACTCCCCACAAATGGGTTTTCAACACGTGGAAAAATACCAATAAACGTTTTTGTCTTTCCTTCGCCGTTGCCGTTTAATCATCAGTGTTTTACATTTTTTGTTTTCCCCTTTTTAAACTCTCCTACTCCTGTCCGTCATTGTCCTCCCTCATCCTCTCTCTCTCCTTCTCTTTTTGGCTTCCAGTTCCAGATTTACATGAATATGAACATAAGTTCAATCAAGGTTTCTCTTCTTGTATATTTAACTGTTTATTTTAAAGTGATGAACAGATCTAGTGAAATTTGAAATGTTTGTTTTATTTGGATTTCATGGGATCTATGTATCCCTATGAAACTCTGCAAAACACTGTAGCTTCGAAGAACTCTGCAAAGTGGAAAGGAAAAAACTTTTATGGGGAAAATTAGATTTTTTCTCTTAGCTTGCAGCAAAATACAAATTGACGCATATAAATTTGGGGTTTTGTGGGGATGGAACTGGAATCTGTGGATGACGAAACCGGCCGGAATCCGCCTCTCCACAGATGATGCAGCTCAGCCGGAATAATTCAATCAAAAGATTGGATTTTGAACAAAGTAGCGGGAGGGACAGGTATTGGGGATGCAAATCGTTCTGGATTTCGAGGGTGGAGAGCGCAGCCAGTGGTGGAGAGCTGGGCGTTGTTGGCGCCGGAGAGGATTCCCGGCCGATTGTTTGGCGACGCGGTTAGTGTGCTTGGAAGGAACTGCCGTTTAAATTCCTGGAAAAGAAGAGAACAGAGTATATTGGAATTGGGGGGTTGTGGGAGAGAGGGAACTAGCGGGTGAAATTAATAAAGATGGTAAGTATTCAATTAATTAACCATTAATTAAATTGATGGACACATGGCATGCTTTGATTCGTCTGGATTACCACATCACCAATCCTATGTGGTACTCCCGGTGTACCTAATAATTTCTCAGCCAAGCCAATGAGAGGTAATTAGGGAAAGACAGGGGATGGTAAATTATTATTTTAGCCACTAGAATTTATCTAGAGTACCATTATGGTCCTTGGAAGAGATAAATCAATATAATATGTTTCTAGCAGATTCGGTTGTATTTTTGTTTCACACGGGAGATCGGAGGGTAAAGATGGACGGCGGAGCGGCAGCGGTGGTCGGAGACTATGTCCCCCCGGTCTCTACCGTTGTTTCTGGTAAGAAAAATGGTAGATTTGCTTGCTTGTTTTCAATTTCTGATTAATTCCCTTGAGTGGTTGGACTATAAAGTTTGAATCTTTTACGTTTTAATTCAGCAAAACCCATATGAGCTTTGTGATTCTATGGTTTAGTTTGTCAACTCCCTTAGTCCTGATGCAAGAAGGATTGCAGACTGAAGAGGAGGCTGAAGATCGAAGATACCAAACGGAGTCGTTTTCCCTTTCCTTTAAGTTCATTAACAATGAAACTCTGTCCTTTTTACTTAAGGCTAGCTAGCCGTTATTAGCCGTTACTAAACAGTACTTTGGTTTGTAATAGGCTAATCGTTGGTTGCCAAGTGGCAATCTGGAACTAAGCTGCTTATGCATCTCATATATATACTACAAACAGAGCAGCCCTGCAGCTTTGAGGGTTTTGCTTTTACCCTAGCAAATTTTCTCCATATGGTATCAGAGCGGCGACACATCTAGGGTTACAATGGCAAACACACCACCGCAGTCGAGCCATGGTAAGGAAGCTGCAACTGCATCAGCAACCTCAGGAGCAACCATGTCTGGTGTTCGAGGTTTCCAGTTTGGCACTTACACTGAGACGCAGCAACAAGAGCAGCATCAACAAAACAATGTCAGACCTGAGGTGATAACTTTTGGTAACCCTTTCTACTTGAACCCTAATGAAGCACTGAATCAGTCTATAGGTTCAGAAGTGTTTGATGGGACGAATTACATTATGTGGAGTAGATCTGTCATAATGGGTTTGAAGATGAAACATAAAATGGGCTTTATCGATGGAAGCATTCCAATGCCTCCAGTGAATGATGACACATTTCTGCTATGGGATGGGTGTAACACAACTGTGTTGTCATGGATCTTGAATTCCTTGCACAAAGATCTTCGACGTTCTGTGATGAATCATGTTAGTGCTAAGGTGCTCTGGGATGAGTTGAAGAGAAGGTATGGTAAACCTAATGCCATACGCATCACGAACCTGGAGGATGATATCCACAAGTGCAAGCAAGGGAACCGCACTATCAACCAGTATCACAATGAGATTAAGGGAATTTGGGAAGAGCTTGCACAGTTCAGTCCCATAGTTCCATGTAATTGTGCACCTGGGAATGTGAATCCATGTGATGTTGTTGTAGCCTACACAGAAAGGCAGGAAACTGATTATCTGATCAGATTTCTCAGGGGTTTGCATCCAGACTATGAAATTGTCAAGAGCCAGTTACTATCTCGCAAACCATTACCCACTGTGTCTGAAGCAGTGGATGACCTACTCCAGTATGAACAAAAGCTGAAAGCAGAAACTCAGGGTGGAAGGAAAGGCCAAAGTGTGGCACTGGCTGTTGAGACTGAACAAGATGAGAGACCAAAGGGGCAAGGGAAGAAGTTTTGCATCTTTTTCAAAAGAACAAATCACAATGTTGAGCAGTGTTGGAGAGCTAAGAAGAAGAGAGAATCACAGAATGGAGGAGGATCTCAGGGCAATGCTACCAGCTTTGCAGGATCAGTGTTACAAACAGGGCCTAGTGATTCAACTACTGAAGCTGGCTACTCCAGCTCAACTGATACACCAGGAGGTAGTCCAGTAAGTGCTTCTAAAACAGTGGTTGGTTTTACCCCAAAGGAGATGAACAAGTTAAGGAGCATGATGTATTCTGGTACTGGTAACCCTTCTTCACCTACAACCTCTCCATCTTTGCCTCACCATGCCTACTCAGTCACTCAAATTCCTCCACCATACCCTAATTACTCAGGTAAATATAGCCTGTCTACCTCAAGTCAGTTTAACCAAACCAATTCCACAAACCTTTGGATTCTAGATACAGGTGCCTCAGATCACATTTCTTGTTCATTAGCCTCATTCATAGAGCATAAACCAGTACAAGATATCTATGTGAATCTACCTAATACTACTAGGGTTCAAGTTACTCATATTGGCACAGTTAAACTACCTGCAGGCTTGATTCTTCACAATGTCCTGCATGTCCCTAGCTTTGCTTTCAACCTTGTCTCAGTTAGCAAGCTTACCAATGATTGCCCATTAGTCTTACATTTTCATTCTAATCTGTGTCATATCCAGGACCAATTAAGCTTGAAGATGATTGGTTTAGCAAGAGAGCATAGAGGACTTTACCACCTCACCTTTCCACCAACCCAAGACCAGAAGCCTGACCACCACCAAGCAGCCACCACTTTCAATTTCAATCCTTTGCATTTTGATATTTGGCATTGGAGATTAGGACATGCCAGTAGTGATAGAATTTCCATGTTACAGAAATCCAATTCCACTGTAACTAGTACTAAGATTCTACACTGTGATGTATGTCATTTCTCAAAACACAAAAGACTCCCTTTCCCAAACAGTACCAGTATTGCAAAATGTTCTTTTGACTTGGTTCATGTTGATATATGGGGACCCTTGTCTGTTCAGTCTTATGATGGCCATTCTTACTTTCTTACTGTTGTGGATGATCATACAAGGGCAGTATGGGTTTATTTAATGAAACACAAACATGAAACCAGAGAACTGCTGAAAGGTTTCTGTGCCCTGGTTCATAACCAATTTAATACTACTGTCAAAGTAATTAGAAGTGATCAAGGGCAGGAATTCCACATGAAGGAATTCTTTATGGAAAAAGGGATAGAGCATCAGATGTCTTGTGTGGAAACCCCAGAACAAAATGCCAGGGTTGAAAGAAAGCACCAGCACATTCTGAATGTGGCTAGGTCACTTAGGTTCCAATCTGGATTACCCTTAACCTTTTGGAATAACTGCATTCTTCATGCAGTATACTTGATTAACAGAATGCCAACTCAAATTCTGAATGGCAAATCACCATTTGAAGTTCTTTACAACCATCAGCCATTTCTTGACAACCTTAAAGTGTTTGGAAGCCTATGTTATGCCAGTACACTTGGGCATAACAGGACCAAATTTGCACCAAGGGCAAGACAGTGTGTTTTCTTAGGTATCCCTGCAGGAGTTAAAGGATACAAGTTGCTTGACTTAGATGATGAAAGGGTTTTCTTGTCTCGGGATGTTATCTTTTATGAAACAATTCTGCCATTCAGAGATTGTTCAGATACATCAGATTTTCCCTCTTCATCATCTACTGGTCCAATTCCTCAGACCTTAACACCAGCTCCTCCTCTCATGGTTCCTGCATCATCACTTCCTACACCTTCAGCACCTGTTTCCTATGATCAGGCCTCAGCTGCAAGGGGGGATGGTGATTCCAGTAGTCCAGATGAAGATGAAGATGCTGCAACTCCTGCAAATGTCACTCCTGAATCAGTTCCTGAGGTTGCTGATCAGGAGTGTGAACTACTACCACAAGATGATTTTGATCCTCCACCACCAAGAAGATCTCAAAGGCAACCAGTATTGCCAGCTAAGCTGAATGACTGTGAACTAGACCCCCAATTGACTTTTGGTGCATTTGGGACAGCAGCAAGTTCAAGTAAGCATCCTATTTCTCTAAATTTTGAATGTTTGAATGAAGAGGATAGGATATATGCTTTAAGTGTACTGAAGCATGAGGAACCAACCTCATACCATGAGGCAGTTAAATCCATTGAAAGGAATAGAGCAGTGATAGAGGAAATACATGCTCTAGAAGCAAACCAGACCTGGGAAATAGTTGAAGCACCACCAGACAAACATATAGTTGGTTGTAAGTGGGTATTTAAACTCAAACTAAAGCAGGATGGTACAATTGAGAGGTACAAAGCAAGATTAGTGGCCAAG